GACGGAGATAGAGTCCCATCTCCGAAACGTCGTTTTATATTTTATATTTTACTAGACGATGGATAATATCCAAGTAAATTTTTATTCAATTGACTCTTCACCATCGTCAAGAAGTTTTAGATTTGATATATAAGCTACAAATTCCTATGCCAAGTGTCCCAAAAAAATTGTTTTACTGACGATTCGTCTAAAATTTGCTCCAAGTCACTGGATAATCATGGCTCTTAACATACGGAACAAGACGAATGTAGACGGAGGATATTTGTAGGCTGCACCACGACACGGAGTTCCGCTATGCACAATCTTCGGTTCAGTCCGTACCTCAAAGAAAACACCACACTTAACCATTACAAAGATAAACTGTTTGATCGTGTTTAAGGAAATAATCGCAGTTTATGCCGAGAGAAATACGAAACCCATTAAGGCAAAATACAGACTTCTACTTGTTAAAGCAACTAGTACAGTTATTATTTGGTAATAAAGGCTTAAGTACATCTAACAGAGTTTCTTTAATTAATTAATCTTGTCCGCCTAATCACAATTTAAAATTTAAAATTAAGATAATTAAAATACCATGTGATGCTCCTTATCTAAACATTCGATTTACATTTGGAACATCACTTTCTCACTACATGTTTCGGTTCTTAGATGAACCATCTTCAGGTGTATAAAAATTACAATTATATAAACTTAAAACTTAATCATAATTTCTTATATGCAACTTTTTTTGTAGTTGTTTATCAGTTATTAGTGACGTTCACTTCCAGATTCCATTTTAATATATTTGAAGTTGTTCTATATATGTGCGACGTGTTCAAATAAACTTTTAGGTTGGTGGTATTTTAATTATCTTAATTTTAAATTTTAAATTGTGATTAGACGGACAAGATTAATTAATTAAATATATATTTTCACAATATGACGCAACTCTTATCATCTTATTAACAGAGTTTCGTTAAAATGAAAGCTTGAAACGGCACCATAACCTCAGGGGCAGAACATGTCAATTGCAAATCGTCTTTTCATTGTAATTCCCATCTGGTATTGAAAGAAATAACAACAGAAGTTTCTGAAGAAACTTACGTCTAGGCCAGTGTCGCTTGAATTATTTTCGTGATCGATAGGTCGTACGAACAGGATTACGAGTCACGTGACACTGTGAATACTGACATCTGGTCCTTGTATTTAGAATTAAGTGGAGTCGTAAGATATTAATAGGTGCATTACTTAACGTTAAGTTATAACTGTTCTAACCTGTATTTGTACCGAAAAGAAGTTTAAAAAAAATCATGTTTAATTAACTTCAGTGAATAAAATGGAGGTCTCAACGTTTATAACAACACTTTTTTTACTATTTTACCCATGAACATTTCCACAGGGAAAATACCAGAATAAAGGATGCAGTATTAAAGTAAATACATTTCAGCATTCGGTTACAATTATTTTTGGTGGAAAATTACAGTGATTTTTGTCATTAATAGGTCTCCTATTCATAGAAAATACGCAAGTCTTCTGATTAATATCATAATTTAAAATGAAAAATTCGTTTGTCGTAATGTAACAAAATTTTATCTGAAGCTACTACAAGCACGTCGTGTTTGTTTGTGACTGCAATATATATAATGCTAGCAGTGTCTCAGAAGGATCAGATGCTCCAGCCTTACTTCCTGGAACGAAAGAGAGAGGAACAAAGTCGTATCTGATACTTGAATGCAAACGTGTGAAGTCACACCAACAATCAAAGGCAGCACTGGTATTGTTGCAAGAAATCGGCAACTTCCGATCGTATGAGATATTATATTGGTCATCCGAATAAATTCTAGCGAATTCCTTGTGCCCTGGCTGTCAGCTTGTCCACAAGACATTCCTCTGGGACAGCTGTGCTCTAATTTGAGGCATTTTGATACAGCAACAAGCTGCCTTCCTTGAAACCGAGCAGGAATTCGAGGTGTGGGCTTTATACACCCTACATCAGTAATGGTTTTGGGGCCTAACATTTTTTTATGAATTTTCTTGAGCATATGGAACCTCGCCCTCACGTCCTCATGAGCTTTGCAGTCACGTCACTAAGCACGTAAAGGAAGGGCCAATGTACTACGGATCTTACAGGCTTAATCGATCTCACACCTCCTATCGTAACAGTAAGTTTGATTGATAATGTATCTTAAAAGAACGTATATTAAATCCAAAAAAGACTCGTTTTAATGAGTACAATATTTCTTAAGAGACCTCTCATCGGTAAATCTTCATTACGCAGGAACCACAAAAGTCATCACCGCTTTAATTCGTTCTTACTTGAATTCTATTCGTTAACAGGTGCACAAAAGGGCGAAAACAGATGACAGAACACGCTCGTCTTCATTATCAAGTCCCTTACAAGGTAAATTTAATCACAAACATCAATAATGAAGGTCTTCACAGCTCCTGAAATCTACATCACTGTCTTCATCGTCAATCGAATATACAATATGCAGTTACTAAAACAGGGTACATAATTGTCATAGCAACAGACGGTCTGCAGTAAGAAGCAATGTTATCTGTTCGATTTTCCATTGCAGTTAGATGTTCGGACATGGCAGCGGCGGTAGGAGTGATGGCGGTTGTAGTAGCGGCGGTAGGAGTGAAGGCGGTTGTAGTAGGGGCGGTAGGAGTGATGGCGGTTGTAGTAGGGGCGGTAGAAGTGATGGCGGTTGTAGTAGCTTTGGTCAGTAACACTGTCGACATTTTTGTCGTTCTCTCACAGGATAACAATTGAATAAATTCCCAGGACTTACCGCGCAAAACATCTGGACTATCACACGTAGCGTTGTATACAATATGGCGGCTGATGGTCAACGACAAAGTATCTTTAAGATTACAATCACACATCAGAGGATTATCACTCAGATCAAGTTCCTTAAGATTCATTAATGGTTTTATAGTTGCCAAGGCTACAGTTGTTAGACTATTGTTACGTACAAGAAGCTTATTTAAATTCCTCTGAGAAGTAAATAGCCCATTGCTTAGAGACTTTAAATTGTTATTCGTTAAGGTTAACTCCTTAAGTTCAGTCAATGAATTGAATATTTTGTCATGAAGCGCTGTGAGTGAATTCTTATCCAAATCCAAGAATTTCAGTTTGGATAGATTTTTTAAAATGTTGGGCTTCAGTTCAGTTACTTCGCAGTAGCTGATATCGAGACGTTCTAAGTTGGTCAGTTTCTTAAAGATGTCATCCTGCAGAACACGTAGGGGATTATTACTAACGCTCAAGATTGCGAGGTTTTCCGTTCTCATGAACACGCTGTCAGGAAAGTTCTTGAGTCTGTTTTGATTCAATTGCAAGCAAACGAGATTTATCAGCGAGTCAAAGATCCCGACGCCCACAGTTTCCAAATCATTATTTTGAAGCAACAGTATCTCGAGGTTTGGAAGCTTTGCAAACACGTCAACGTCCAAACTGTGAAATCTGTTTGAAGATAGATCCAGTAGCTTTAAACTGTTCAATTGCAAGTTTGTATTCCCGAACGACGACATGTTGTTGTTGTTCAGAACAAGACATTCGAGATTTTGCAGGTGAGTTAACACTGAGGCATTCAATACTTCCAGACTGTTATGACTCAGAGATAAATTCTTCAGACTTGCTGTGCTGTCGAACGTGCCATCTGGGATCGTTGACAACATATTGCTGGATATGTTCAGTGCCACCAGTTTAATCTGAGACCTGAAAACATCTTCATGTAGAGTTTTCAAATAATTAACGCTGAGGTCCAACATCTCGAGGTTCTTTAATTGAGAAAATGTTTCATTACTGAAGGCTACAAGGTGATTTCGATGTAGTGTCAGATATTTCAGATTCAAGAGCTTGCTAAACAATAGAGGATGCAGGGCTGACAAAGCGTTGTTATGCAAAGTAAGCACTTCCAGGTTGTTCTGCCCGGAAAACATATCCATATGAACTTCCGTCAAAATATTGTTGTGCAAGTGAAGGATTCGTAACTTTCCAAGAAACCCGAAAAGATCTTTGCTCAGCCCGAAGAGACCATTGCCATCTAAGTAGAGGTGCGTCATGTCTCGAACAGTAGTTCCACTGAACAAGCTAGGATCAAGAGTTCTCAGCTCTTTGTTACTGCAATTGACAGTGTTTGTGATAGAGCAGTCACAGCTGAAGGGACAGAGAGCAGTCCTCTGGGCGGATGTAGAAGCCACCAGCATTATTACCAAAAGCGAAGATGGGAATTCCATGGTTGTCAGTATTCTATAAAACAAGCATAAGATACAGTTACATCGACATCTCTTCTCGCAAAAGCCATTAAAGCAGACGAAAATCATGTCTCGCGGAATCATAGCCGACCCAGCTACTGGGCATGCGCGGTTGTCAACCCATACGATATATTTTTTTTTAATTTATAGTGTCCTGTCTGACGACAGGTCCATATGAACAGGATCCTTCCATCCTTTTCTCGGACTGGGACCTGTTCATATACGTTCTTGGCAGATGATCCAGAAGTGGTTTGCCATTGCCTTCTTCTGCGTGTGAATGGAGTAATTGTTGGGATGCCAATGAGGAAAACTCCGTGTTGCCTAGGCCACGGCCTTGCCCAACACAAGTTATAAATGCGAACCCGAGACCCCAGGATTACAAGGCCAGCGTTCTGACCACTAGACCACCATGACGGCAACCCATACGATAACAAACTTAAAATCAAGCTTAAGAAAGAAACTTGTATCTCACACGCCCCAATTTTCTGTCACGAACTCCGACGGAAACAGCTCAGCGGAGTTACGACGTAGTCTGTTTGCAGTGTTATTTACGACAATTTAAACAAACCAAGTCGAAACAGAGATTAATGTAAACTGAATAGCAATTTAACCCGATTCTTCGTAAATCTCTAGCTCTTATAAACACGTGCAAAGTACGTTTCATCGTCCTGAGACCGAGAAACTTGTTTCCTCTGTTCAACAATTACAAACAAAAATGAAGCAAGTGGTCGCATGGAGAATGTTCACGCGTGAATTACAATAAACTTTTAAACTTTTAAAACAAAACTTGTTTATAACAGAATACCATGGTATTTTAATATTTTCCATATAAAACAAGCACACATTTCTTGAAACAATAATGACTACTGGAAACTTCATATGATACGTATTTCCCATCGAAAGCCAGAAAAGCTTCCTCCATTTCTTATTTAATTTGTCTATTACTTTATTTTCACTAAACATGTTTTGCCTTCTTTGCAGACATCCGAGTCTAACTTCTAGCTACTATTGCAATATCTTCGTCTCCACCCACTGTTTGCATGCTTAAATGTTCTTCAAAACACTTTTAAAAAGTTTCAATGCTGTTAAAAGAACGTTCCTATATATAAATCTTCTTTCATAAGTTTATCGTTTATTCAAAATTTCAAAATGGAACGTTACTAACGGAAAATCCAGAATCATGTAGAACAGTGAACGAACATGGACCAACAATGAACAAACAATTGAAAGTTTCGTTCGAAATGATGGCCGACGAACTCGCGAAAACATGGCGGTGGAAATCAAATAAAAAACACGAAAATAACAGTATTTCCGTTAAAAATTTATTTTTAATTAAGCGTCAGACTCCTTTGTCAGAGGTGGCTGTACCACATTTTGGCAAACGCATTTTTTAAACTCATCCCGGGTTTCGTTTTAAGAGAGGTTTCAATTAATTACACCAACATACCTTACTTGATGAAAATATCTGTGACAGCAGTCAGAGACGCGAGGTACAACCATTCGCTTTTGGCGTTCTTTATCGAATGTCAATGGTTATTCCCTGTTCGACAAGGTCACTAGCCCCTTGGCAGCCGTCAGTGTTGTCACTAATGTTGCCATGGCAACTCAGTATACATAATGCACACATACACGTCAGTACCCCAAACGCTGCACGCAGAGAACAGGACAGTAAAACAAAAATCAATTGATATGATGTGATTGTCTTGTGATAAATGGGACATTGTAACTCCACATACATACGCACATTGATACCCCAAACGCCTCTCACAGATTAAAAGACTATGTAACGAAATCAATTGATATAATCTGATTTCCTGCAATCAGCTGAAGGAAGAATCTTGGGGACCGTGAAAAATACAGACAATTAATAGGTTTCTTGGTGAGGGTAAATGCCCCGTCGTGAAAGACCTTCTAATGATCTGTCAGTTTAAGTGAACAATCCTCTTACCAGCTGATAAGGCTGATAGATACACATAACCCGACCTGAAGAAGATTTTGGGGTAAACAGAGCCTGCCGCAAGGAATATATGCAGTGTAATTATTATTATTAAAGGAGAGGTTCCAGTTCACTACACTGTAAAGAGCGCAACAAGAAAAATCCAACGTCACCCACGTCTTGTATTGACATTTCCTTCCTGTCGGAGCATGGTCGCAGAAAAGTAATTCCAAAAGAAAAAAAAATTATGCTTCCGGAACTAAATAATAAAATCTGTAATTTAACAAAAGAGCGTTTCAGCGTTTTCATTTTATATTGGTGGCATTTTTATAGAAAAACACAAACGTAAAACATGACATCTATCTGTGGCGTTTGAAACTACTGCTTTTGAGATATCAACAATTTTAAATCGTTCAGAATTATAATTAATAATTTCACATGTTACCTTATTGGACGCATGAGGCTTAAGTTTCTTTGGAAAGGGAAATTTAACCGGAAATTTCATGAAAATCAATTAACCCTGGTGAATGTAGTAGTATTTCAGTGCTTGGGTAAGGTTAAACACGTCCATAAAAGGTAAACAATTTCGTAATATGATACATATTGATGCAAACAAGTGCTTCATTAGTTCTCAGAATCGAAGATCTCCCCAAGAGTGCTGTAATTCTATTGGCTTACATAAATATATGCACATGGTAAAGTAGTATGAATAAATGTAACGCTTGTTTGATATTTAAAAATGATTCATAAAGGATATATAACCTTACATTTTTAGTTATATATTTGGGCTATCCATATATCTCAAATGCTGATTACAACAGCAAGAGAAAAACTGTAGACCATATCAGATTTTGGTAGAACAAGAGTGTGATCACTGACTGAAGAAAAACGAAGTTTGCACACTATGCAAAATTAAGTACGTATATGTCTATGTTTAATGCTCTGTACTTTTTCCACCACATTCTCAGACCAGTCTCTAAATGGGGATGACAAATGAGCCCACTGTTTTGATATATTCTGCCTTTGTTGCACTTTAGTGATATCTGTTAGGCCTGCAGCATTTTGTGAGGTCAGTAAGTACAAGTACACATTTTGTAAATGTAATGCCAAACAAAGTTGAGTCAATTTACATTAATGAAATTATACCAGGGAGGTACACACGTTTGGGATTAAAAGCTGCCCTAGAACATGGTGTATTGAAATTGAAAGCTGTACTGGAACATGGCATGACTGAAGACTGATACTGTAATCTGTAATTAATAAATACACAGAAGATGCAAAATTCCCATTTAACTTTAGCCTATACAAATGCCTTGGGAACATCATTCAAAAAGGTGAATATCTTCAAAATCACTTACCCCCTTTCATCCTTATCTGCAGAGCTGAAACCTTTGATGTACTGATGCCATGATGATGAAGGCACCAAACACCTCTGAAATATCAGTAAACATCTATCAGAACACACAGCACAACACCAAAGAAAACCATCTTTTTAATAATCAGTAGCGACAATGTGATACTAATATTTCTGACAGTGCAACTGTCACTGCAATGATTATAATAGTCTCTTCTCTTTACCCACTCAACAAAATATGTGACAGTTCTTTTATACACTCATTCAACACTGTGTAAGCTAAAAATTTAGCATACCATAAAAGGCCTCTTGACTGACAGTTTCAGCAGAAAATGAAACAAAACTGAACTACAGATCTGATCCAACACATGGCCTAATTTATATGCATTTTTAACTTCATAATTAGGTCATATGGCATTGTTATAAATACACCGATGAACACAGCCATCCATTCCATAATAATGCACTTGGGAAGAATCTGAGATGGCCAGAAATGGATGGAGCCTGAAGGCAGCCAAGATATGTCGCTCTGTATCGAGTAATTAGTTTTGTTACTGTGGATGTTTCACAGTTGAATAATAGAATACCATTTGTTGTGTGTGAAAGAAATAAGGCACTGATCTTTTAGAACAGTTCCACAACAGGATGTTGGAATGTTCAATTTACGAAAAGACGAGTTCCGTATTTCAAGAAACAAGGCTAGAAATTAACTACTTGTTTTACAGACACAACTGCAGTGATGTCTTTGAACTTCAGCCACATATGTCGACTCTGTATGGTACAGAACGACAAATTTGTTCCTCTTTTTGAAAAAGGGGGATATCTCCTTTTTAGAATCAAGACCGTAGCTCCAAAGTTGAAGGTTGGTCCCACATTTACCCATTTGCTTTGTTTTATTGTGTTGTTTAATTACTTTCATTTTTAGCATAATGTATTTTTACATCATGACACCTAGTTAGTTAGTATAAGGCATGTACCACTTTATGTTTCACATTTCCAGAGCACAGTTTTCAAGTTATCAGCTGTATGCTTAATCAAAGAGACTGGCTTAATTCCTGCTATTTGTCTTCTACAGAAAGGATATTTTATTTTGAATGTGAGGTTGTGGATATTGAACAGGTGGTAACACTTCTAACTTTGTAGATTTTTTTGTTAAGTCCTAGTAACAAGATTGCTTTTCCTTCTATGTCTCTGGGAAAATGCCTGGATAGTACCATAAAATAGACCTTCACTGCTTCCTCCCACATTGTTCCAAATTCATTCTTCAAAGTCATCCTACGAGATCTCACTTGACACTGGATCATCTGAACAGTATTTTAAAATAAACAGTTAACCAGTGGTCCTTATAGGAATGACAAATCTGCAGGCAGACCAACCTGACCTTTCACTGTACAACATACATTTTGGTTCCAGAGAAAGAAATGAATGAAACGTGCCGTCATCACACGTCTGGTAGCCCGAGAAGAATTAATTAAAATTACATTTAATTTAAGCACTTCTTACCAAGCCCCAGAGATATGAAATCATCACTAATCGCCATATTTATCCAGTACTAAAAATAAGTTTTACTTTCCACAATGGTTTGTGTTTACATATTTTGGTGATCACACCATGTTGTTCAGAACATAAGAATTGTACACAGGTTCATGATCTAATTCTTATGAATTAGATTAAGCCTTCAATGTTTCTTTTTGCTATAATGATAAGGAGGCTGTCAAATTCTCTGAACTATCATCAGATCAGCTGACCACAACACTCATCCCTACATTTCAACAAAGCTCCGCTACGATTACCACAGCGTACTCCTTATTCTATATGAAACTGTGGAAATAAACATCTTCTTGCAGTTGTCTTCTGGAGATGGCCTGCCATCACAAGTCTGCCAGCAGTGTGCCCAACAGGTGAATACGTCATATGACTTCAAGCTGAGATGTGAAAACACTGATGCCATATTAAGACAGTACCTTACCAAAATGCAAACAAACCATAAGGCAGGCACACAGGTATGTACATTTTTTGTGACAGTGATGGATATAGCGACATTATTAAATGACAATGAAACAGTCTATCACAGACGTCTGCGATGCCTCATTGAGGTCTGAGACTGGCTTCACCAGGAGACCCAACAGATTAGGCAACTGTCCTCCTTTCACCTGAAGATGGAAGGAGAGCCAACTTCCAAAACATCGTGGTTTTTAATAACACCTTAACAGTGGAAACCTTCAGACTTTGATTGGCATTTAATTGTATCTTCATTTAATTACATATTAAACAGTAGTTTCATGAGTCACAAAAAAGAATCTTATGTAAAACGTTGTGTGTCAGATCAGATCCTTTCACGTTCCAATTTTTTAAACACTTGCCTAACTGAAAAGATGTTTCAAGTAGAAGTTGTTGCTGTTGGTGTGATGAATCAGCTGTGACAAAATCAAAGAGTGTATCCTCACTTCCTGTATTTTGTTTACAAGTAAAATGTAGCAGGGCTAGATGGTAGCTATTTTGCATCACCTCCTGAAGAAAGATTAGATATTTTGTATGTGCTTTTAAAGATTCATAACAAGAACACGATTACAAGTCCTTTCCTTTTTCCCACCAACTTCACAGTAAAATAAACAATAATCCAGTCTACTTGGTGTTCCTATGCGGTAACTACTCTGACCATTCATTTTCAGAAAGACACGGAAGCAACTCTGCAATCTAAAACTCAGATGAGTAGTGGAGATGAGGCCTGGGAACCACTGTCTATTAAAGTAGAAGTGAAAGAGTGAGTATTAATTCTCCAATTGCCCAAAAATGCCTTCCATATATGGGTTTAAATCTTAACCAAGGTAAGTTGAGGTGGTAGGATAAACGATAATCATGATATGGTAATGGATAAAACAGCATTCCCCAGGAGAGTGAAGAAACCAAGAAAGGTCAAGACAACTGGTAGAGTTACTGCATGGCAGTATTCGCCCTTCGGTAATATTATTACCAATCCTAGACCAGAATTGTTAAAGATCTATTTCTCTGTTTCACTTTCTGCTGAATATTACTCAACATACGAAATGGAGCAGTACCGATCAAATGGTAGATTTATACTAAGCACTGGCAGGGGCCACTGGATAGTCATTTTTCCTTGAGGATGGAGACAGTAAGGACCTTTGATATGTTAGCAATACAGTCAAAAATCTGCATGTCATCACCAGAAAACAGGATCCACATTAGCATGATACACATTGATACTAATGTCATACAGAGGGTAGAAAGAATCTTGTGGGTTATGTGACAACCAGTACGATTACTGATACTAAATATTATGTATTGCTTATAGGTTAGAAACTGAGGACTGCTCCCTGTCAGTCGATATGTGGGAGAACCCTCAGCCAGGTCCTTCAGATGAGAAAATACTCTCTACTGCTGAAATAAAGTCTGAAGAGAAAAGATCTGATTCCAAGGACCAAGAAAAGCGCAAGGGCGTTGGTAAAAGATTTGCGTGTTGTGAATGTAACAAAGTCTTTCCAAGAAAGCAAAAACTTACAAGACATCTAAAAACTCACACAAATGCGGTACAGTTTTCATGTCCAAAATGTGGGAAATCATTTCGGCGGAGTAACATGTACGCTAAGCACATGCAGAATCATGCAGCAGGAGAGAAGCCTTACATGTGTACGGAATGCGGTAAGAGTTTCTGTCACAACCACATTCTTAAAGAACATATTCGAATCCATACGGGCGAGAAACCTTATTCTTGTAAGAAGTGTGGGAAGAGTTTTGGACAGAGTGGCAACTTGACAAACCACATGCGAAGCCATACAGGTGAAAAACCATTCTTGTGTACTGTGTGTGGTAGGAGTTTTGGGTTCAATTCCACGCTGACAAAACACATGATGACACACACAGGAGACAAACCCTACTTGTGTACCGCTTGTGGGAAGAGCTTCAGTTTGACATGTACATTGAAAAAACATATGAGAATACACACAGGTGAAAAGCCATTCCCATGTCGTGAGTGTGGAAAGTGCTTCAATCGTAAAGACCACTTAAAATTACACCTCAGGACTCATACAAACTGTTCCACTGCACCAAACGTCGTTGGCAGTGTACCCTCTTCTTTAAAACAGGAAACACACTGATACCTAATCAGATATTGCAGAAGCCTATAATTTAACCCTAAGATAGACACATGGCCAACATAAGAAGTCTAAGAGCTACGAAATATGTAGCAAAATAAATAATTCTGTACAGGAAAATGTCCACTGCAGACAAGGTCTAATGGATTTTTCAGACAAGACGTTATACCCTCTATGTTGTTCCTCAGTTAAACAAAGTTGGTATGTGAAGCAACTGTATGTGAACAGACTTCATTTCTATGTGGTTATCACTTTTAGTGTGATATTGTTCTGAACATGCATGCACCAACTAAGGATAAAGGAGATGAACTACAGCGTGTACTCAATTAATCCATGTGAACCGCTTCAAAATTTTATTAGGAGATTTCAAAAGAAAGTTTGGGAGGGAATGCACTTAGTAGTCCTAAAAATTTCTTCATATTGTTTTTTTTCCTTTTCTATATTATTTATTAACTTATTTTTTTAATTATACATAAATTAAAAATATTTTTTTAAAAAAATAATTTTAATAATTTATACTTTTTTATTTTTTATATAAAATTAAAAATATCTTAATAAACCATTAATTTATCCAACTAACCTAATTATTGGTCTGACATCACAATGATTAGAAAATTTAGCTCCTACTTAAAGAAAATACAATGTATACCCATTAAAAAGCTCAGTAGGTTGATCTGACATCACGGGAATAACTTCCTACCTCAGAGAGAACACATGTCACTGTTACAAAGCTCAATTATTGGTCGGTCTAACATGATGGCAACCAGAACATTCAGTTCCTACCACAAAGAAAAAAAATAATTCAACACCATTACAAAGATCAATTCCATTCACAGAAGTCAAATGTCAGGTTTCTGTGTTCATTGACTACCGAGCAGTATGTGCTATCGCTATGTCGTGTTGCAACAGTTGCAGCATAACTCTAAAACAAAAAACCCATTCGCCATATACACATGAGTCAGATCTCACAGTAACCGCTCCTCTTGAAGAAAAATCATGGTCTGACAGTTCTTGCACAATCTGTATTTTATAGCGGTGAGCATCAGTCAAAGTGATTTCCTCCAGCACGTTGAGGACAACAGAATGTTTGCATGCTTATTGACTGAGGCTGTGACCAATAATGGCCCATACCCTTCCAATGTTTTCTGGTATCTGTACAGTTCTTACATTGCCACGAGGTGTTTTGTATTTTGCACAAGCTGCAGTTCAAAACTTCTCTGCCCTGTTTGTTGATGGCAATGCAATCAGGAAACTTTCCTTTCAACAGCACTATGAACTTGCATTAGTCTTGCTCAAAATGAATAACAAGTGCAACTATGATAACAATGACAGAGTGGTGATAATGTGATGCAAGGCAATTATGGTAACAATTACATCACCACGGACATGCTGAAGATTGTGATAATGGCATTCATGACATTCATATAACTGATTCAATGAAAATAAAAAGTATGATTTTTGACTATGCTTTGAAGATATTATGTCCATAACAAACTGAATGAAAATCCATTAACATGGCCAAAACCATATCCTATTAGCCCACCATTAGATGGCAGATGTGGGCAGGCCCATAAGCTGTTCTTTGCTTTCCTACAGAAATTCTAATTATAATAAATCTTAGGATTAGTACTGAAACAAATATGTAGCTTAATAATACTTTGCTTTCAATTCAAATGTTGAAGAGCCGTAAAATAAAGTCTGCTTTATTCAAAATTATAATGTAAAAGTAGGAGGATGAGTTGGGTGGGAAACACAGTATGTATCAAAGATAAGAAATGCATATAATGTTCTGGTTGGAAATGACAAAGGTAAGAGATCACTTGAAGACCAAGGCATAGATGGGAGGGCAATATTAAAATGGATCTTACAAAAATCAGGTGGGAGGATGTGGACTCGATTAATTTGGCTTGGGATAGGGACCAGTTGAGATATCTTGTGAACACAGCAATACACCTTGGGATTCCATAAAGGTGAAGAATTTTTGGACTAGCTGAATTACTGTTAGTTTTCCTACAAGGCATGTGTTCCATAGAGTTAGTTACTGTATAAAACCAAAGGAAATTCAAATACTTCTTTTTATGTTCTTGGATATAACTACAGCTGCTTCAATTGTAAAAGATTTCAAACTGATACATAAGCATAATTCATGCTTGTACAATGTGTGTGAACTGGCTACTGTATTTCATTGTACCTTAAACATTTTTTCCTTGGCGTTGTAGTAATATGATAGTTTTATACTGGCCATTTCAGCTTATCACTGAGAGAACCAAGCAGAAAACTTGTCTACCCAGAGTGCACAGTACAATTATATCATCCTTGTAGCAAGGACATACAAAACATAAAGTTCACAGTGCCTTAAAACTAAATTAAATTCAGACTGATAAATGGCTTGTAACTGTGAGAAATTATGGATTTACAATTTGGTTAAATTGCTTCCTGTATCTATGTAATTTTGTTTCCATTTATAAAAAAAAACTTTCCTAAATATGTTAAATTAAAAAATTTGATTTAATTGTAAAACTTTTTAACATTCCAAATTTATAAAAAAAATCATCATAGTTATGCATGCAATAAGCAAGTTTAAAAACAAGCATTTATAATGATCCATCTAGTTTCATACTGAATTTTACTCATAGGCTGTTGAATAGAAGAGGTCCGACATTTCATCACTATGCTGATTTATATATTTTTTATGAACAAAATATATATCAGTCTTCCAGTCCAGATGTGGGTGCATGTCCCTCAAATACAACTGGGTACTCTAGCATCAGCTTATATTTCAAGTCAGCCTTTTAGTCTCAGCATGACTTAATTTGTAACATTGTTGATGAACACCTCAGTACATGATTTGATGCAGCAGTGTTACTAAATATCCGACACTCGGCCTTTTAGAATCGACAGGATGCTTCAATTCTCTATTGGAAGGTTCTGTCAAATTCTTAATTCAAAAATGCAATTTTGTCATTGACACTATAACCATAAATCCTGTATCAAGAAATACTACACAGCAACAAACAGGCAAAATCACGTACCTGCTAGAACAGTAAGTCATTCATATTCCAGTCCACAAGGAATTCTGTACTCAAGAACAAAATTACGTCAGTCACCATTTCCATCCTAGTTCACAAAGAATTCTGTATTCATCGCCCTGATGATGGAGGCAGTATGACCTCTGAAACGTTGATTAACATCAACCAGACTACACAGCGCAACAACCCAGAAGACGGATATCTTCATACTCACCGCCGTGAGAACCTCAAGTCTTACAATTCTTTATTAAAAAATAAAGTTTCACCTTTTGAGTGGGTGGAATCGCCTACTGGACTTTGGAAACTATTCTGAAAACGTTGAATTTTCGTATTTTTAAAGAAAAGTATGAAAATTAATTAAAATTGAAAATGTAAAATTTACAGACACAATCTTAATTTCTGCATAGTGAACGGTACGAAAGAATTAGATAAATGCAGAGTCTGGTCTCCTCTCTTATAACTAACACCTGTCACTGTAAAATCTCAGCCGCCATTATGCATACCCCCATTCAAATTTTAGCCAGAGCTAATGATACTCATGCAACCTTATGGTATAACTTACAATTTCTGCGCATTTTGTAAATGCAGTTCCATGCTGACAGCGACCACAGCATCCTTCGTATTTAGAATTTTGCTTGTCGATATTACAGTGCACCCTACAAATGAAAGCGACGTGAAAGGAACCACAATTTTACACTGTTAAATAAATATCACGTTCAGAGCGTTTGTTCAAACTTACCGGGTATGAAACAGATTGAACAACTTAACTCTGTATACTGCAAAAGGAATATTTTACTAGTCTGTGCTACGCATAAATATGGGAGAGTATAGCCATACTTAAATAAACTATTACTTACTTTATAGATAATTGTAAATTATGTTTTTTAATTGTCAGAATGAATATTTTAAAATAAATATATTTTATTGGGAGCTGAATTTAATGTTTGCCTTACTGTTCTATATGCATTCAGGAATGCAGTGAACTTAAACAGTGGTCATAATTGGGACAATCGTGGTTAAGTCACGTTAGTGAAGAGGCTATTCATTTGAACATTTGCAAAGAAAACTGCTTTCACCTGGTGAGCCAACATTCGAACATGACTGGGTGAACAGAAATAATTCAGAGCATAAGATATCTATAACTGAAGCTACGTCTACACCATTGAAGCAACATGATGCTAAAGAAATCATACAAACCTATAAGACATTTCATAACGCATGTGACAGCTCACGGATTCCGTAATAAAATATGAAAAATCAAGAAACACAACAAACAAGATGTGCAAAGTGACTGTAAACTGTACGAAGACTTTCCAAAGCTGGTGAACACAGATAAAACCGCCATTGATTAGCTAGAGTGATGAAGAATAGGTGCACATGCATGCACTGTACGTCCCATTCATATCACAGACTACCCATGATCTACATATGTACAAAAAAGATATGTCAAAAATCAGCTGGGGAAGGTCATTTGTGAACTAGTCAGTGGTCGATATACAAACAGAATGCTAAAGCCAAAGGCGTTAACTCAGGTTCTGAGCCAAGCTAATACTGGCGGTGTGGAAAATACATTGTGAGTTCAAATTAACATTTTAAATTCTTTCCACTGTAGCCATAATCATGAGTAGATTATATTATTCGTCCCCATGTAGTGCCGAAGTTAAGAATGCGAGGAGTTATACCTCCTCTATCCCATACGCCTTCATAGTGTGGTGCGTAATTAAATATAGAGATGGTTTGCCGCATGATTCCAAGCATTTCAACCTGTTACAAATATATGAATTATCATCAGTGTAAATATGCCTTTCTTGTTTCCTGCAGTTAGCTGTATTTTAAAGACTATTCAAATGACAGCCAGTGAATTATTCATCATATAACAGGAACAAAATACAAATTAAATTTTACAGTATTTATGAAACTATTAATCTGAATAGTGTAACTACATATTTGTAAGTAATTATTTTGCAGATTGCTTAACCATGAAGGTGCACTGTTGGCATATAGTGGATATGGAGACAAAGATGCTCGAGTAACTGCAGCCATTGCAAGTAATATATGGAGAGCTTATGAGAAGAATGGCCGAAATGCTTTTAAAGAAGATCGGCTGCAGTTAGTACTAATGGAATGTATGGTATGTATGCAGCTTTTATTTCACACTCCCTATTAATTTTAATGACTCCAAAAATTTAGCCATATGACTCAAAAGTAAGTATTCTCCAAAACATCCTCCAAGCCCTCATGATGTTCATACTAAAATCCATGTTTTCTGACACACTAACCCATTTCAGATTTTGATCTGATATTGTTCCTTAAAATCTAAATCATTTAGTTTATAAGATATTAAATTTCTCAATATCAAACTTCTGCATTGTTCACTTACTTACTGATAGTATTTCCCTAACTTCTGCAACTGCCAAACAGTGGTTAGTATCACAGCTCCTGTAAAAGATCACACATGAAGCATACTTTATAGTCACCTTTTGTCTATCAGTACATGATGTGATTGTCTTTCCATCAGGAAAAGACCAAACATATTTATTAACTTTATGATGTGGTCAATCGGAGACTTTTTAACAAGTATTAAACTTTGCCACAAGTATGTAAAAAAGACAAGCTGCAAAGAGAACTTGAGGTATTCTAGTAGAGTGCATATGGCATTTCATTTTCTTTCAGGAAGGGAAAGTGGCCATTACCCAAGTTGCTAATCTCCTGTTATGCCTTTATGCAAAAGACACTGTTGGATTTGGCCTCCTCAAACAAAAGGCACAAGCCCTGGCTGAATATTTGGATGGACCTCTGAAGCAAGTTGCAACATCCTGATCAATCCATATTCTGAATGTGAATAAGATTATGGTTTGGACTTTTAAAACAGATGGAAGTTCACACATAAAACATGGATGGTTTTTGAAGATGTTATAATATTGTGTGTGAATTACAGTTTTGTCTCAACTGCTAAACTGTTGTTGTTCATATGTATTTCATGTAAGTAATGTATTAAAACAATCAATATAAACAACATTTTGTCATTTTATCTATACCTTATAAGAAAAAATTAAATATCTGTAACAAATTTCAGAACTATTTCTATTATATCTATCAAAATCTGTAAAAACTTCAACTTCCTGAAATAAAAAATAATGACTGGATTATTAGGCAAGTAGTGCGGACAGACATCCAGCAACACCATACTAAATGCTTTCCACTACCAGTTCCCATCAGCGAGCATGCTACAATGGATCAGATTTGTTATGCAGCACCCTGAGTATGAGAGCAAAGATTGGTCTCAAAATGTTGGCAGAAGAAATGGTATATTCACCATTCAGCCACCTGACGTGGGTTGTAACCCGAGTTTTTCATCATCATCAATATATTTTGAGAAAACATTTCAGTAGCCACAATGTGCACAAATCTGAGTAAGGATGAAACATATCAGACTACAAGTATTTGGAGGAACCCAGTTTGAGTCTCAACCAAAGAACCATTACTTGAAATGGACTTCTGTCGTCCTTTCCACGTGACATTTAGGGCCAGTGCAAGGATATTTGGCACCCTCATGGCCCCCTAGTTAATTTTCAAAAATGAATATTGCTCATTAGTATGAATAAAATGTCTGCACCTATATAATTTCATATTTAATTTAAATAAAGGAAAATAATGTTGCTAAATGCACAATGTCACTGATCTACACTTTGCAAAAAATATGTACTATGGGAAAAAAACAACAGAATTTAAATTATTTTCTGCACTTTATAATAAATTTACTCCTCAATTAATATTCGTAGGGGTAACTTCTGAAAACAAAAATAAACTGGACAAAAGTGAAACAGAACTTATTAGCACAATATCTGTAGTGCACCTGACAATGATTAAACGTTCCCATTGAGGAGGCACCTGGTCACAATATCAACTTCACTACACACGCACACCAACCATTTGAATATGAAACCAGGTACTACTGGTGGCATATTACAAAGCCACAAACATAAACACACATTTATTCTTTCCCTCTGTTCTACTATTAATCATAATGAATGTGAACACCCTTCAAGAAGCATTTGTATGTAGTGCTTCTGAGCATACAGCTGAGACCCTGTGTGCGATGTCATGAATAACATTTCTTTTTCTATATAAATGGATTGTGCTGGAAATTGACCTTTTACCAGAAAAAAAATCCATTCCCTTACAAAGATTTAAGCTAATTCTTGGTAATATTTTGCCTCTCAAATAATTTCTGAAATAAGTACGAACATGTAAGACTTGAGGTTCTCACAGCGGTGAGTATGAAGATATCCGTCTTCTGGGTTGTTGCGCTGTGTAGTCTGGTGAACATATTAGAGCTACACTTCCACAATACACTTAGTGTCAATTGTCTTTTATCTGACTTGAGATACCGTATTCCTGTTCCTTCATGCCATCACACACATCGTGGCAGATAAAAAGGGAAGCCTGCCAGATGCAAGAAGGATGTACTGGACTTACCTTAAGGGCCGTCATGAGTTCAATTCATCCCCAGCAGTGTATGTCCAGGTTTCATACATTTTATAGAATTTAATCCTAATCTAAAATAAGTATGTGCACCTAATAAGTACTGCCATGTAAAATACTTTTAAAATTATAAAACTTATTCTATTCTAAATGTTATTTATTTAACATCTGTTATCTGCCCACAAATGATTTAATCTCTGTGAACATTTACAGGTAAATCAGCATTGGTTCAATACGGCATTAAGCCTCATGAAAATAACACCATGTCCAAGCCAATATATTTTATATTACTCTAATCACAAAAAGACACACATTTCTTTAACAGGAAATACTTTCAATTACTATTCATACTATAAACAAAAAAGATTAAAACATATCAGTTTTCTAAAATAACATTTTTAAAATGCCACGATATAAATATTAAAATTGCAAGGTCATGACCTGCATAGTTTTCACAGTAATCGGACATCCACAGCAAGTGTCTTTTATCAGCATCGTTCAAGGGAACTGTTGACATAATAAAATGTCACTAGAATTACTGTCATGTTTAGGAAAGTCTTTGAAACTTCCATTATATTTTTCATTTATCTACTGGGAACCTCTGAATGCTTAAAAATTAAAGTGGCAGAGAAACTGCCGACAGGGAGACCAAGAACTAGGTGGAGACACCAAGGGGGATATATACAAACAGATTAGAGAAATAATGAACTCAACAGGACTACTCAGATAAGATGGGAGGCTCTACCAGGAGACCCACAAAGTGAAAATATCAACTGATATCTTTGAATATTTACTGCAATTTCTAAGGTTGTCTCCTCTTTACTGAAATTTCTAGCTGCACACATGAAAGAAATGAAAGCATACTTTCTTGTACATCCACTACAAAATTAAGTGGCTGGTATGTGAGTGCGTAATGGCATTTGTTTACAGTGCTGCAAGTTGAATTGAGTATTTTTCTGTGTACTGTGTCATGTTGTTATATAAAATGGTCAAATGAAGGGTAACAATTTCTATTTTGAAAAAAAAAGTACAGAAAATATCCCTTCCAAGGATTAACAAATAGAAATATATGTACAGAACGTGTGCTGTTCAGAATAACTTATGCAGTATAAAGTACAGTCCATCGGCCAGGAGAAAATCCCTGCGGAGGGGGAAGGCAGTTCTGGTGCGGTGCAAGGGGAATGTTTACTACCAGGTGGAATACAGGCTGCTATTGGTCGGAAATATGACACGCCAGAGAATTACACTACTACTACAGGCTGCTATTTGTCGGAAGTATGACACGCCAGAGAATTACACTACTACATACAGACTGAAAACATCAAGAAGTTAAGAGTAGCGTGTAGTGAGTGCACCTGTACTGTGTTCTGTGGGTGTTGTGATAATATTCTAGATTAAATCGCTGTGCCGCTGTGAGGCAATCTCAAAGCTATACCCATTAGAACACATGAAAGCCTTGTGACTGTTCTTCGTTCAGTGGTTGTGGAACGAGTGCTTTCAAGATGGCTAGTAGCGACTCGTCACTCACCGCGAAATCTTGCGCATGCACGTATATCGAATTCCTAGCAGGGATTTTCTCCTGGTCTGTGGACAGTGCCATTTGTTACTCAGGTGAAAAGCTTTGACAAGGAAATCTCATGACAGCAAGAAATTCACCAGTTGAAACGTACAATACGCTACAATATGCTAAGTTAGAGCCTTATATTTTTTTACAAGGTCCGTATGTTCTCCCAACAATGTTCACCTACACTGCTAAACATCGTAGCTTTTCTGCTGAGTAACAGACAATATATCCTTTCCTGCCATAATAAGTTATACTGGACAATTCAACAGAGATTGAACACTTGACACATCAAAGCTGATCAATGTTAATAAATTTAACATTGCTAATGCACACTAAAAGGAAAAAGATGCTTAATAAATGTAAAGCATGTGAGAGCATAAATGTTCCAATCTCATCTGACCTACAGTGATGACCAAGAACAATGTATACCTCAAAGAAGACTTACCTCACTGATAACACAGTAATAAACAGCTACAAGAATTTACAGAGTCTCAAAACATACAAATAGAAAAGTAAAAAGTTTTATGGGTTCCGCTGCCAAGAGCTTCAACAGGAAACAAAAGAATGCTCAGATTCTTACCTCTCTTGTTTCTTTTTGTTCTTAGCAAAAACAGTACAAATCATGCAGCAGACTAACAACAGGTAAAATGTTTAAAAAAACCTCCAATAAGACTTCGTACTGTTATAGTAATGGAAGTCAATAAATTAATGACCAACCGTGGGTCATTTTTATAGAAGGGGGAACTAGACATCAGTTGTGAACAAAGGGAAATTCACACACAATCAGAACTGAGGAGAGAAATAATATTTCAAGACCTGTAGCTATAAAAATGTAAATTCTCCTTCGACAGGACTCAGCATGTTTAAGAAAGTCCATACCTATTAGGAGAATATCACTTCTAGAACTGCATCGCACAGACCCTCTGACATCAATTCTCAAAACACAGGACATACTCTTGAGAATAAAATCCAGTTTCTACGATAATCTCATCTTACCGCCAATACTCCAAAACAACTCTGGCAACGCAAGCATGGCTGTCTACATACAACTCACTACCTTCTGGTAATCTCGTGGGGTTATTTTTGTGACCACCATTTTACAACCACATTTGTTAGACTCAAAGCTGCAGAAATAAAAAAAAAATAGAGTCCAAATCCCAATCACTGAAACTGGATTCCCACTCCAACCGAGATTCACATCCGTGATCCTTTCTGCTGCAAAACCTGTTGAAAGATTATCACATTTTTTTTTTATGAAAAGTTCGACAGAACATGGCAGAGTACAGATTTGAACTTTGTTCATACATTCTTCATTACGACTCCTGCATATTTATTGTGTTTATATTCTGTGCTTTCTAACGCAGTTGTACAAAACACCACGCTTTCTGTTAATCATCGGTGGTTTGTTGAAAATCAATTTCATTTTTGGGATGAAAGTATTGCTTGCCGTTAATTATTTTACTCTGAAGGGGGAAATGAAGATATCTGCAACCAGTTTAGTACATTTTCTAAAACTGATCCTTTGAAAACTATACCAACAAATTTTCACTACACACACATTCTCCTTTCAAGCTGCAGAAGTGGTGTATGATTTGTAAAGACGAATTACAATCTACTAAATAGAATCTGATCCAAAAGACAATTTACTAGTCATTCACAAAGAAGAAAGTTGTATCTAAAAACTCCATTATTCACAAAGTAACATGATTCATGGTGAATGTGGCAAATTTTAATTTTACGTTAAAAATAATTTCTGACAAATAACAAACAGAAAATTTTATTGTCCTTCACGACGGTTCCACTATGTTTGTATACAACAGAATATATGCATGCGCACACACGGCATCATAAAACAATAACATTTGCATAAATGGTTTATTTTCACGATTCTCAGCCCATCTGATCAGAAAAGCAACAATTTTAAAAATTTAAAAACAACGTGATTTTTCACTCTTGTGGTAGGCCATGCAGCACAGTCTGATTAATTAAGTTATGGATATCTGTCACATACTTACAAGATTAATGGCAAAGAGGCATGCTGCCTTAATACAAGCATTATCAAGGAGGAGCCACGAACCCACAAGAAATGCTTCCTCCGACATAACTTATTCAAGAAATTAAATTAAAAAAACCAAGACAATAAAAAATTATTTATACCATTAACATTCACACTTTACCTGCCCCTCTAATTTGTCACATCCCCAAACAGATCACTGAGTGTGATCATTAAAGACTTATTTTTTTAAAGTAAGAAAAGGAGAGATATAACACTGATTCACAAAAACCTTGTGCATGATATTCACATTTTACAAACTTTCAATAAATTCAAGAATTAATAACAATTATTACAACAAACTGCCCACAAATGATCTTATAAACCTAATCTGAGAATAGATAATTATGATTTTAATGATAACCTTAAAACTGTCTCAAAATAGTATTAAACACAATCCATTTAATAATAAGTGTCAGTGTAACAATTTACATTCTATTAAATTAACCTCCCTTCCACCCACTTGTCTGTAACAGAACTAAAAATGGCTTGGTGAAGTGCCGAGTTAACGGCGCTTAAAAGAAATTATGAAAGAAAGATTAGAAACCAAAGCAACTGAAAATCCAGCATGCTAAATTTGGTTCACATCCATTCTGTAATTAATGTTTCCTTGCATACAAGCATTCTCATGCAAATATATCTATTTACTACATAAGCAGACCACATAAAGTGCGTTGTGTAAGAATGTACTACTGAAGTGCCACATCACCAAAAGTAATTAACATTGCTGAATATTAAATTTCTTCACCTTTGCTCTGTCTGTTGGCTCCGTTTCTTTTGAACTGCGCACATTTATCCCATATTCCCGTGAGACCACACAAAGAAATTCTGCATGATCCTCATTCCCATAATTGTACTGTGACCCAATATTAATCAGCTGTAAGAGAAATATTACAACAATGGTAGATTAAAAAACACTCTATGTAATAGATTATCACCCGGATTTAAACCAAAACCACGTGAAATTCTGGAGATAGCTGTTATTAGTTATTTGGCACCAAAAATCCATGTCATTTAAACATATTGCGGGGAATAACTGACTAAAAATTTTGAAAGCAGCCATGACTACAATGCACCATATGCTATTGTGTAACTGATAAATTTGTTACGCATAAATATGTAGTAAATTTTGAAATGCAATACACAAAAGAAAAGTATAATTTCAAATGGTTATTATTAATATTATGGCTTGAAGAGTACAGATGTTGCAGGAGACATGACCTGATGATATTTCAAATGTGTCAAATAAGACAACCAAAAAATATATTGGTAAGTGGTCCTTTTGTGTGATGTTGGTACCACTGTGTCTGTCTAAAGCACCCACCTCGATTCAGGTAAACAGGATATCAGGAATGGGGTGGAAGGAGCTAGAATGGCAGGGGACAAAGTCATCACGCAGTGTCATATTAATTGATCATTCATTGTTATCTTTGGCCAGAAATGCAAAAAATGTTGAAAAATTTAACAAATAAGACTAAATTGGGGCTGGATATGGAATTTTCTGATCTATAACTTAGTCACTCATCAAAGACTGTCAAGCTCATGCTGTACTTCAATTTTACATGCACTTCATACTAGTTTACCTGCTCAAATTTCCAACCATCAGACATAGTTGAGACCATCTGTGTGAGTTCATCTTCATGACACTGTAATACTCTATACACTTGTTTCTTTGATTCTCTTGTATGTGGACCATCTCGATAACAAATGCGTTCTTTTACTAGATCGATGAGCTCTGTTATATTGTAGAACTCTGCTTCTTCTAAAACTCCTATAACAAAGAAAGTGTTTTGTGAAATTACAATTTGACTAAAACAACGATACTAACTTCTAAAGCAATACTGCACTTAACACTTACCTTCTTCTGTTAAATCTTTGTTTATGACAAGCTTTCCATGCCTTAAATAATTCAGAATCGGACTGAAGTATGTAGGATCCCTATCAATGAGGTATGCGCCTGTTTCATCCTAAAACATCAATTCAATTGTACAGACATCTGTTAACACAAGGTTAGTATTACAAATCTAATGTCCGAACAGTGGTTACCTCACCCTGTCTGAGATCAAATCCGAATCTTGGCACAGCCTGAAGAGAAACGAGTTAGGATCGCGAGAAAGCGTTGTTTTTGTTGTCAAAAAGTATGTACCTCCAACATTTAGACGAACCCACTGTTTACTTCGACTACGTGTAATAGCACTATTTTCGTCCACTTCATATAAATTCCTTTCGTTTACGTTCGCCATGACGGTAATCTGCTTTTTGGTATATTGTGAGAACTTTTTAGTTTTCTAGATTCAGAGCAACATTTAGCATTATATGACACATCAGAAAGTATAAAAGCATTATAACACTCGATAAATAAACAAGATACATAAAAAAGAATAATCGTACAGAGAAATTGCTTTTAAAATTACATGGCAACTACATCCGGGTTCGAGGTTTCTCATTTAAAATGTCGCGCCGGGTTCAAGTCTACCTTGATTTTGGGTTCGAGACTTTACAGTGCGGCCATCTTTAGTAGCATTACTTAGACATTTTGTAAGTTTTGTAAATATAGAGAGGCTACCAGTAGTCAATGTAAATGATACAATGCCAGTTAAAGTAGATATAGTTCCACCGCCTCCAGCAAATTCTAAGCAACCTGGTGTCACACGGTCCTTATTGTATAATGGTTCAAAGTTTCAGGGTCACCAAAAGTCTAAAGGAAATAGCTATGAAGTTGAAGTAGTTTTGCAGGTTAGTTTATCATATTTAGTTATTTGTGAAACCTCAGGTGAATATTGAAGTAGACCACCCGATCTAAGTATAGTAATAAGTGTTCTCTCATTTCAGCACGTGGACGAAGAAAATTCGTATCTTTGCGGTTATCTCAAGATAAAAGGGCTGACAGAAGAATTCCCAACCCTTACCACGTTTTTTGACGGTGAAATTATTAGTAAAAAGTATCCATTTTTAACAAGAAAATGGGATGCAGATGAAGATGTAGATAAAAAACATTGGGTAAGTTGATGCAGCAGTGTTGCATTATCAAAAGAAGAATTGGTTCTTGCATATATAGAATGAAAACTCCGGAACAAAAATGTATTTTATTTTATGAGTTACTGCTTAAATAAATTATTTCAATGTTTAAAATCCATATGTTTCTGTCGAAGAAGCATGTCTTTGGTAATTTTACATGAAGTGATAACTTACCTCAGTTAACTGCTAGATAAAGTATCGATCATGGCACAGGTTCTCCACCACATCACAACACTGTCTGTTATGCATAAAACTGAATTAGTCCCAACATAAACTATAGTGTATTAATTAATTGAGAACTTTATTGATACTGTAGCCTCTTTCTTAACAGAACCATCTAATCGTATCAGGGAAACCTTGATGAGGAAAAGAAAAACATTATGCCACTGCTCCACGTCAATTTAATATAGACTTGCATGGGCATGGAATACACTTCACCAGTTAAGTTATTCATGGAAAATCCAGCAACTCTTCCTCATTAAAGGTCATCCCCATACAAGTCTGTTTTCCTGTAATTTGACCAGGTAAAAATACAGAGCAGGCAACCAGAACTATTTTTTCCCACAACTCATGTTTTTCTGATTTGTCGGATTCAAACTTTGTAATAGCAGAGATTAGAGTAGGGTTGGTAGAAGGTAATGCATTTGCATTGTTTCATCCTCACTGAACTTTATGATTGAACAGTAAGAATCCTGTCTTTTGTGGAACCCAAATATCCATGTTCACGAGAGCCAAAAAAATAAAGTGAATTGAAAGATTTATTATTTCCATCCCCAGAAATTAAACCAACACACTCAACAAAATAAATAATATCAAATTCTGAACATGCTCAATAATAATCTCATCAAGGTACACATGATTGTAAAATTTAATAGGGTGCCAGGCACAGTCCAAATGCGTCCTATATATCGACTCTGACAAATGTGTGTTGTTACACATGATTGTGGTGAGTTCTGCTGCTAGTTTGATACACTGATATGCTACATCAAGTGGAGTGGAGCTACACACACAGTAGGAATCAGATCCTGCATGTCCAAGAATCAAGTCCATGCCTTCTCAATTGAAAATGTACATAGAATGGACACACACTACCAAGAACAAGACTTTATACTTATAAATTTGTGACACAGCTGAAACCTTGAGGTAATTATTCAGCTGAACTATCCTTAGGAATGGTTAATTTCCATTTTTTCATGTGCACAGTATCCAGTGGTTTCGATTTCATTGGAATTTGGGACAAAATGATTGCGTCTTTCAAGATTTGCAACAAATAAATCATTTTTAAATCCGAATTCTTCCATTCTGACAACTTTGTTCTCAGTGTCAAAAATTCCACAAAAAATGTCTCCCTTCAGTGTTCTAAGATGTAACAAATTGGGATAAGAAATTATATGGTCAACCTTTGTTTTACACTGGGGTTGCAGTTCCTGTGAATTTCTACTTGTACTGAAAATGCGTGAAACACGACAGCTGCCATTTTCATGTTAAGCCCGGAAAAGATTTAACCCAAAAAAAACAGGCTTTGAAATTTGGCCAAGGATAGGATACAGATGCTTCTTGTGATACTGAAGCAAAAACACAGATAACGAAAGAACATATAAAAATTCACCTATATACAAGAAAATCTGCCTTAAGTTTAAATTCTGCATTCACTGGTGTGAATGAAAGGTTATGTTTCTAGAGACTTACAGTGAAGAATTGGAAATTATAAGTGGTATCCATTGAAAATAATTTTAATTCTTTTTAAAAACTACCCCATCATTAATCTCTTTATCTTTATTCCTAACAGAGTAAATTTGGATCGTTCTACCAGTATGCAAAAACATTCAATTCCGACAGTTTTGACTACGAAGGCCTGAAAACAACAGACTACGTCTTTATGAGGTGGAAAGAGCACTTTCTTGTTCCTGACCACACAATCAAGGATATTAATGGAGCATCATTTGCAGGATTTTACTACATCTGTTTTCAGAAATCTGCAGCTACGATAGAAGGCTACTATTACCATAGGAGTTCGGAATGGTACGACTGTAAACTATGTGATAAGCTGTACCAACCCCAGCTCTGGTGTGTAGTAGGCATATATATACATATCATATTAATAAACTGCAAACCTTTTTCCTGGCCAAGCTTTGTGTGTCTGTAGTAATATGCCAACGTAACTAATCCTATTTTAAGCAACTGATATTTGTTAAAAGGTCAAATGGTACTTCGGACTACAGCATTTGCCCCAAAAATGGTGAGTGACACATTTGGGCACTGGACAGGAATATTATAGGACATTGCTGGCTACTTTTTGCTCTGTATGATTTTGAAGGGTTTCTCTCATGTTCCTGATTTGTACACAAACAGGAAAGATGATTTTCCTCAATAGATTAGTGTATGAAGAGTGGTAGTATTGATAAATTTCCCAGGGTTTATTGCCAAAGGAAGGAGGGTTTTTTTGAAACATGATGTACGTAGGGCAGTCAAAAAGTTCTCGGAATTGTGGTATAGCACGGTAATGGTAGGACATATGGCAACGCTTACCTAATCACCTTCAAATAGGACCCTTTCGCACACACAAACACTCGCTCCATCGATCCTGCCATTGCTGGAAGCACCGGCGGAAGGCTTCGTTTGGAATCTTCTGGAGTTTGGTCGTCGCATTCGACACCTCGCTGGTCGTGCAGCAATTCCTCGCCGAGAAAAGCATTCCCATCCACCGTACTCTCCGGATCTCGCTCCGAGTGACTTCTGGCTGTTCCCTACTCTGAAAATGGGCCTCAAGGGGACGCGTTTCGCAACCAAGGAGGACATCAAATCGAATGTGACGGCCGAACTCTGGAAGATTCCAAACGAAGCCTTCCACCGGTGCTTCCGACAATGGCAGGATCGATGGAGCAAGTGTGTGTGCGCGCAAGGGTCCTACTTTGACGGTGATTAGGTAAGCGTTACCATATGTCCTACCATTACAGTGCTATACCACAATTCCGGGAACTTTTTGACTGCCCCTCGTATATGATTTTGTACTTTCTCTCATAGCTTGAGTTGACAAAATTTTAAAATGATGGAATTTTAAACTTACTGCTATATTTAAGTAGGTGGTCATCTTAAAAAATTGTGTACCCCTAAGATTTTGGCTTCTGTGCAACATTACGGTACTTAATTACATATGCACTTTTAATGAAATGTGTTCTTTTCAGGTATCAGTCATTGACGCTGAGTCATGTTCCAGAACACAGCATACAGATCTACGAGTTCAGATGAAAGTAGAGCAAGAGAATTGATTTATTCGTGCCGAGATACGCGACACCTGTTACAAAACTGGACTTAATTTTGTACTACGAGGTGCAGAAGCAACTAACTGTAATTTGGTCAGTGATATTTAAGCAAACAGAATAGAATGGAATGATACATTGTTTTGCTAATCCCTTACTGGATAAATACATTCATTCGCTACAGAGCATGAGTGTGTTTTGTAAATTTCATGTTTGGAGAGTGACGAGCTGTTGTTGATCTTGATTTTAATTAACATTTTTAAGTTTAGTTCGTTTCTTTCACATCTTGATGTCAAGAAGTAAGAGTTAATTGTTGCATATTACTGAATTAAATGTACAGTAACAGCATGGTTCACAGTGCCCTGTCTTATCTGTGTTTATATAACCACATTATAAATACTATTCCAGAAATGTATGCAATCTGTAGCATAATACTCAAGAAGGTGCAAGTATTTTAAATTATGTGTGTAAATAGACTAGAATTTAGGTTGATTCAGTGTCGAACACATACTGAAATAAAAACTGGGAACATTTTGAAACATTTGTCTAGCATGTAATCAAGCATTATTTTGTGAATAATTTCCTCCGCTGACAGTGACAGGAGTGACTTTATTTCAGTATGACTTACAAAAGATTCTGTTTGAAAATGGGACTTTCCTTCCTCGTTCCCTAATCCTTTACAGACAACAACTGAACACGCTGTGCCTTTACTGCTGGCTGGTTTTATATTCATGTTTAAAATTCTGCATTTGGCACTAGTCGGAGGCTAGCCATTGTGCCACTGGTAGAGGACTGGGTGGGACCGAGAGCTGTTTTGAACATCACAGTGACATAATCAAAGCTGAGCTGATTGCCCGAGCATAATTTAGTTAACAACTGTAAACTTTTTTAGCCTCTTAATGTAGTAAAAGTACAAGGGCTCTATCCCTTCTAACATAGTAAAATGTGTTGTCATTTAAAATTTAAATACCCAATGTTGAGTGGATGTCGGCAGACCATCTACCTATACCCACAATGGAATCTAAGGATACAGAGGTCTAGTAACCCTCCCCCAAGAAAAAAAAAGGTAGGAGTTCAACAATATCTGCTCTGAAATGGGGAATACAATACCCAGACCTCAAGAGGAAACATTCAGCCTGATGCAGTACTCAAAGCAATCAAGACAAATTTCAGCATATCCATTACCATCAAACCAAAATTTGGTCTCTTATTACCTTTTATATTTTCCTGTAAATACTTTATTAAAAATTATTTAAAATCATTCGAGTCCAATTTCAAGTTTGCTTGGGCTCTATTCAGATGGAACATCCTGTTTACAGTTCTGAACTTCTAACCCAAAACTTCCACAAGCACCTTCTTTTTTCAACTTCCAATTTTTAAATAATATGTTTGCTACAGATTTAACAATAAATCTGATACTATTCTTCATAAAATATGATTCTGAGCAACTAGCTAGATTACTCACCAATATGATGGTGCAACTGTCATGTTGGTTGGGTGTAAGGGCAGATCGGGACATTACCTTGTGGAACACGGCTACATCCTTTCTGGTCCCTGCCAATTAACAGGATAACATGAACATCTTGCAACAACAGTGAAATAATTTGGTTAAGTGCAAATTAGGAATATTTCTGCTAATGAAACAGTTCAACAAGCTTTGGGTTCAAGCAAATTTAAATCGACAGTTGAAAGAACGAGATTGGAAAGTTTTACACTTTTGAGACGGACATTCCAAATATATTCTTCATGCAACATCACGTATGTCACATGATGAATATACCAATTTAGTAGTAAAATGAGAAACCTTAACATGACAGAAGCATGGAAAGTTCGTTTTCATTACAATTTGATGTTGACCCATCATTATATAATAAGACACCAGGAATTCAGTACTGACATTTATTATGAAATAAAAGGGAATCAGCTCTTATTAGGGCAGGTCTTATCTCTACTTGGTATATTTAGCTACGGTGTTAGTGAGGTTAGGTTTCAAATATACCAGAAGACTTGTAAAAAAGTTAAAAGTCAACAGATTACAGCACTACAGCTAAAACAATTCAAAGTATTTAAATTACTTCAAGAAGTCATGTATTTTCAGTGAAATATTTACCTTCCCTGCATAACGTAAGGGTCATGGAGACTGCATCGCTCAATCGGAACAAGTGGCATATCAGCAGTAATTTCTTCTTATTCTTGTTGATGCTACAGGCTGATCTGAAGCTTGGTACACACTACTGAAGGAGTTTTCTATATCCTTATTAAGACAAGAGGACTCCTTGACCACAGGATGAGACAGCTGCAAGGTATCCACCATCATAGGACAACACAGTAAAATGAAAAAAATGTCCATGTCCTGACTGGGGTGTAAACCCACAATCCTAAAGGATACAGCCAAGATCATGCAACCACCACACTCAACAAATCACTCTTCTGTTCTCAGACACAAATTCCACTTTCATTTTCACTGAAAGAAATCAAGATTCTCAAATTTGGGTGCTTCTTAACAATATGAATATAAGGTTCATAAACAAATCTATATGAAAGATTTTAAGCAGGCATTAACCATCAAACAATACTGTAAACTGAATTTACAAATTTTCCACAAACTTATTTTGACATATATTTAGGCCAGCTTTTTGTTATAACATTTCACTCAGTTGATCAGAACACCCCAGTTGTAACAATTTCTTTACTTGCTCTATCTAGAAGAAAAATAAATACCATGAAAATTACAGAGATGCTATTTTACAAGTTAATAACATTTATAAATTCACAAATATACAAATTCACATAAAACTAAATATTTAAATACTATACGAAAATCATTTAAAAAGCACATCTCTGGAAATATTTCATCATGTAAATACCTAGGAATAAGAAGACATTAGATTTGCAATCAAATTATGTGAAGATTTCTCTGGTGATTGATAAGAATCCTTTCAGTCAAAATAAAATACATTCAATGCAAAGCCTTCTTACCAAGCACCAATGAAATTAATTCAGTTTGAAAACATCTATTTTCTTATGTGCTTTCAAGACACCAGGTACAGATTTGCAAGAAAAGATCGAGTGAAAGGAAGGAGTTACATAACAAGGAACTTTCTGGACTTTCATTAGGGTGATGAAGTGAAGATTATGAGGAGCTGGACACAAAAGTTAGAACTCTGTTGAGGAACCTTGGTGAAAAATAACCACTTTGAAGGCATAGTGAGGATGTTACTAAACTTACTATCAAGACATGTTTAGAGAACTGACTGAACTGGTTCACCGTCATCTACTGGCAGGATTTAGCGTTGAACGCTATGGTATTATTACTAGTGAGCTAGTTTCCTTAAGAGAAGAGACTGTCGTGTCAATTCTAAACCTCTGTGCTCCTATGGATTATCAGACTAAATTTGGAATGTAACAGCATTCTAACAAATCAGTCTAAGTCCCATGGGCTCAAATCTACTAGTTTATAGATGATCCAATGAATCAGTCATGCTGACTCCTTTAACTTCCGAGCAGCTCGCAAAGTGAAGGAATCCACATCTGAGATAAAGTAGGCAAGAGAACATCTGCCACAATCCACTTATAGAATTATAAGAATAATCTCTAGCAAAGAAATATCTGTTTTACTTTGTTTATATGATGACTCTGCAACAACTTCAAAGTTCAGGAATACAGAATTAAGGTCGTCAAATACAGCAATTATGGCGTCTCAGACACTGCTGTAGAAATTACGGAAAACAACAGAAGAAAATTTGTCTTAGCAGGTCTCCAGCCAAGATATGAACTGGATGTCAATTTATCTATGAAACTGGAGGGCTGACAACCATACAGACATTCTTAATATCAATATGTTAGTTCACATATTCACAGTTAAGTCAACAAATTGTACACGCAGAACTGGTGTCAGGAAATTTTTTTTCTGTGGGCAGTATGGAGACAGGTAGGTAGATGAAAGATTCGTAAGTTCACTAATGACACTGTGTCAATGGAAGAGATCATATGGTATTTAATCAGGCAAGAGGAATATTTAGTTGATTTCCAACGTAAATTGCAATGCTTATTTAAAAACAGTTATGTAATAATGCCATAATTATAATAGAACAAGTAGGAAGGGTTCGGTACCAGAGATTATTAGCTGAGATAACCACATAATGTTCAGTACCTGCAAATGGATATTTGTGGATTCTTAAATGGAACTATATATGAAGTATCCAATTAAGGGATATGCAAATCTTCATTCATAATACAGTTAATTTTATGGTTTTCAAAACATTAGTGTGTCCCTTTTACAACATTTACAATGGACAAGGCAGGCGTGTTAAATTAAAGCCCCTAAGAAAATAAAATAACACCCAAGAGTCAATTAATGACCTCTACCAAAGTTATTATTAGCTGAAGATTTCTGTCTTCTGGGAGCTATTAACTCCAACATGGAAAATAATAACTGAAATCTCAAATACATTCCCCCCCATGTAGTTACTACATTCTGAATTATATATAAAAGTTTTATAATTTAACTTTCACAGAAAGAGACTACTGATCATTGAAAGAGAAGCTAATAAAAATGTTTCCAAACACTGGTATTATAACCTAAAAATATATGGGGAAACATAATATTCACTTATGACTACTGAACTGTGAACATCAATGCATTTGCATGTTGTTATGAAGCAGATTCATATAGTTCAAGTTCCAAAAAACTAAGAAAACTGCAATTTCGTGTACAACCTACATTAATAACATAAGCAAAATAAAAGTATAACAATAATAATAATAATCCTCACAAAACTATATAATACATGTAACACATTAAAAACAAAATGTATTTCAGAAATAGCTGCTGCACTATGTACCTCAGGGGCAAGGTTTGTCTCGGGTACATAGAAGTAAATACCCTATAAAGTGGTGAATAGATGGAATAATAATTTAATAAAAACTATTCCATTGAACTTATTTAAAACTACATAAGATAACTGCCGTGTAACATCATAGCTGTACAGTATGGAACAAAACAAAAACAACATATTTTCATGTCAATCAATTTATATACATATATTTACACATAATTCAATCTTTCATGTTTAAATAAAACATAAAATTCATTGGTAAAAACTGTCACTTATAATTTCTGCAAATTTAATTATGTAAATATTGAAATGAGGTAGCCTAGAAATTCACCTCTTTATGCTTTACAGCTGTAATTCAAACTACTGGGTGCATTACAATTACTGCGTTGAAAGTTATGCCTGCAAATAACAGTGAACAACACAAGTGACAAGGGACACTTCAAATATGACATACTGGTATTTAAAAACATATACAGTTTGACGTTTGTACATACATTATGCAAAATTCTCATTCTTGATAGTCAGGCTCTTTTCATAAAGTGTTATAAAATCAAAGATCTGTTCAATGATGTGTTAGTCTCCAAACAAGTACCAACATATATGCAATAACTCCAACATCTGTACTGCGGTCCTAAATTCCGATCAGTTTAACAATTTCAAACATAAAATTAATCAAAGATCAACTGAGCTTAAAATGCACACTGCTGTACTTCACTTCACAATTTTATGCACACACACGTTTTAGTATAAAATTAGGAACAAATAAATCTTTGTACACTTCCATATGTATGTACAAACAGAAGGGGATAGCAGCAATATAAAATCCATTGTGGCTCGGCAAGAATAATTCTCTGTCATTGCTA